AATACAAGCGAAAAAATCAGAAAAAGTGATGTGGGCAGTTCCCTACAGAGCTACCTAGAGTTCTCTTCACAGAGAATTGAAGCTGCCACCGGTGAATTGCCTGCCCCAGACCCCAGACCCCCAGACCCCAGGCCCCCAGGCCCAGCCCTTTAGCCCGGTACCTGCACAGGGCGGCAAAGGAGGATGCGCCACACGAGGCACAGGTGGCGTCACCAGGGAGGAAGGAGCCGTGGAGGAACGCGGAGCCTGGCCCACAAACCCACGTTATCGGGAAAGGACCGTCTTCAGGACCAGACCTGATGCAAAGCACAGAGATTGCTCTGGCAGTTTAACAGGCATCCAAGGTGTATTTACAGCCGACTTAGAGATGTTATTCTTTAAATAACTTCTGCAGAAGGGCAGCCACGCTGACTTGGTCTAAACCAGTCTTACGACTTTCTCATCAGGTTAGAATGGGGACCGAGTGAATTAGTCAAACTACAGGGGTACAAGAGCCAGCAAAAATGCAGATAAATCTCCATCTTATGAATTGTCTGTAATTATCACATTTTCCACAAAAACCATGCTGCATAAAAACATGAGCCTACTGCTGCAGGTGAGATCCGTTCAGGGCTGAAGACAAGCTGACTCACGTGGCACCCAAGCACTAAACAGGTGATGGCAATGGACAGAAAACAGCAGCAAGTAATAAAACTTACTGATTTTATTAAAGCAGAATATAATTCATTTTCCTTCGTTTTTCTCAATTTGGGAAACAGAAAGAGGATTCATTCCAACCTATTCACATTACTAATGCAAAACGAACCAAACCTCTATAAAACAACTGCTTTTCTTCCCCCATTTCAGCAGAAAAAAATCAGAGCTTTGATTTTTCCAGCTGAAAAGGGCTAGAAACACTTTGTTTCTAACGTCTAATATAACATTAATTATTCTAGGGCTAATCTTTTCTAACATACAGAAATTAGTTCAGTATTACTAAGTACATTAAAGCCAAATTAATTCAGCTATAAAACATGCATATTTTATGTAATCTGTTTTGGAAAAAAAAAACAAAACATGAGGAGCATAAACACAGCATTTTCTTTTAGCCCCTGTAACAGAACAATAATATTTAATTAAGGAGTTAAGAGGGGAAAAGAATGCTGGAAAATACTACAATTTATCACCTAATAGTTATTCAAAGCCATAAATCTGTACAAAACATACTATTCCCTAGAAATATTTTTCATTTAACCTTGAATTCAAGTGTAATTGTTGCTACACAATTCACATAATTTAAACAAGGGGAAAAATCCACCTACTTAGATTTCTTTGTATTCCACAGCTTGACTGCATTCCAGGCTGTCACATGCCCAGTTCCAACTATTTTCTCCACTTTAACTTCCTTTTAGAAAGAAGCGTGGAAAAAGTTGAAAACACTATTTTTAGGAATAAGGCTTCCAAACATTTTGAAACACTTAATCTTTTATTAATTGACATTCTCGCATATACTGAATAGATACAATTCTTTCAGGGTTGCTCCTAAGAAAAGGTGGAAAAAATACCATGCTCCACAGAACTAATTTGTGCTGCATCATGTCAGACATGAACCACAACTTACTCTCAGTGCCTGAAAGCTCCTTTACAAAATTTTTGTAAGGGGTATGGCAACAAGTTAGGAAAAAAGTTCATGGTCTTATTCAAAAAACTCTTTCTGATGTCCACTGACAGGAAAGATTCTTTGCTTGCTGTAGTAAAGAAGAACAGTTTACATAAAGAATGGAAGGAAACCTGTCAATAATTTACATATCCACATATTTTCTTTAGTAAATTGAACTTGGAACTAGTGTATTAATTTAAAATTGTTTAAAATTTCCCAAAGGACAAGTAAGTAATTTTATTCTCTAGTACCATGCAGCATAAATAAGATTTCTACTCCTGGGGATTTTATTCGTCCCCTGATACATCACAGCTATTTAATGGATTAGTACAATGTATCTTATTATTCTTCATACAGAATACTACAGTAGAGCAAGGTTAGAGCAAAGTCTTAGCTTTATATGTGTATTACATAAAGATGTACAGGCACTCCATTTATACTTAAATGTGGTAATATCCCAAGATTGCTAAATTAATTTAAAGATCAGGAGAAACAGAAGGTGGTAATAGCAAAATTTTTCTCACTGGAGAAGACAGACGACAGAATACACACTTGGATATCATTTCAGAATCACTACACTGCAGGTGTAAGAAAGGTTTTTCACATTCTTCACACTGGTGTAAATATAAAAAAAGTGGCATTTCAGTTAATCATCTGTGGCAGATGTGCATTATTTCACTCATGAAGGTACAGCTCTATATACACACATATATCTAGGCCTGATTTTTGAGATGCGCTGAGTGCATATAGCTACCGTAAACTTGACACAGATAATGCTGCTCAAAACTCATTCCTGTGATGAATGGGTTGGAGGGTTTTTTTCCTGAATAAAGCTATATTTTATGTGAACTCTGATTTTATTTTTTTCAACTAACACAGTATCGTACTTTACTTTTTGTGTGGCTTGATGGGTATCCAGTTTTTAGCTGTTCTGTCTTGGTGATAATCACTAGGTGGTTTGGGGATTTTTTTTTTTTTTAACTTTTTTTTTTAACCTGACCATTATCTGACTAAAGGAGAAATGCAGAAAGAAAATTTAAAAAAAAAAAAAAAAGGAAATTGACACATAATAATTTTAGATGAAGTATTAAGCCACTGTAGTCAGTACAAAGAGGTTTTTCTGCTGACTACACCCATACTCATGAAGTCTAATCCACTGCTATCAGAGTCAACATAACATTGATTCCCAATTCACTACTTGTGAAAAACTATTTACAAAAAATTTGAGACATTTTTCTAATTGTTTGGTATGCTTTAAGTATTGCTAAAATGCACCAAAAAAAAAAAATTCCTTTCCTGTAACAATTTTAACCATATTCTCAAATTTCTTTTAACTGATACTTTCAGGAATATATACATTTTCACTGCTGGCACATTTATAAAACTTATTTAAAAGCTTAAAAAGCTGCACACTGCTTTTGAATACCTGCTATTCAACAAGGAAGTCTGATAAAAATATTACAGAAGTAATAAAAAAACTTAGTTCTTTTTCATGCAGTTTCACTTAAAGGTTACTGACAAGGAGAAAAATACACAGAAGATCTTGCACATCCACTACCAAAACCAATTGAGGGGCTGTAATAAAAAGCATGTTTCAATAGCATTAAGCTTGTTAGTGTTCTTCTTTCTTAACGTCTATTTATAATTCATGTTTTAGAAGTCAGAACACACATAGTCTCAGCTTTAAAAAGACACCCCTCAGAATTCGTATAAGCTGATTTATGTCCAGGAGCATATGAATATTACCTGCCTTGGTTTAGTAATACTCCTATATAAGCGGCCAATTACTCTGCAGAAGCATCAGGTGTAGAAAACCAAAATATGTTTATTGTTAAAAGTACACATACATGGCTCCATTTTCTAAAACCAAAAATGCACTTGTATATGAAAGCTGGTGTCCTTTCCAAAATAAATTTCAAAAAGAACTGTTATTACTACATCCCACTCCCAAAAAAGGATCTGACAATCTTTGCAAATAGAGAACAAACACAATCAATTTCTGTTTTCAGCCTAGAAATCTGACAGCTTTCCTTTAACATTCGAATTTTCTTTCTGAATAAAGTATGAGGTGTGGTTAAAAACCAAAGTGATAGAACCTGAGCAATTTTTGAGCCTCTCGCTTTTCCACTTTCTATCACTGAAGGAACATGATCCACTTTTTCAATATTCCACAATCTCAAGGTAGAATCCTGAGAAAAAGATGAAATTATTTTGATGTATTTTCATATTTCCAAAAGAGTGATTTAATCATTTCCATAAGGATGAAATCTCATCTCATCAGATGAACCCTCTCAATATGAGAGCTAAACTCTCTCGCATTTAAATATTATGTCTTTGGAAACAATCTTTAGCAATCTTAAAACAGCCTGACCATTTTAAAATAAACAAAGCCAAACATACTTATCAATTTCTTTTTAAAGATTTTCTGTAATTACTTGAGATAAATACTGATTACAACTTAGCACTTTTATGAACAACTTCACCATTGTTAAATTTCATCCAAAAAAAGCTGAAAACAAGGGATGAAATCTTCACATCCACTTATAAGTTAGCTCCTGAAGCCACATCAGGAATTAGCGATTACCTTTGAGGCTGAAAGAATCCATTTCTTGGTTTTGCTAATCGCAACATCTGTCACCCAGTCCCAATGACCCTACAGGAAAGCAAAATTTAACTATAACACAAGGAAGAGAACTTCATTATTTTTATTATAATACAAAAAAATATTTGTACCATAAATCCATTTTGAAATGCAGTGAGGAAATTCTTATCTAGATTACCTCATGTCCAGTCAAGAAAAAATGCTGTCAGGAAGTTCATACTAGTTCCATATACCTGAAAACAGTGGCTGGTTACAATCTCTGGTAAGCAGACCACCAGTTGTAGCACTCGTAAGAATGACAGCTACACAGTTACCATAGGTTTAAGCTCCATTTAAGCATAGGTCTTTTCTATTTTTTAAACAGTTTAATAAAGAATTGTAAAAGGAGAGTTGACTTCCAATACTCATTACCTAAAAAAATCTTGAGGCTGTTTATCATGTGATAATGGAGGGAAGAGCTGCTGGAACAGACAGCAGCTTCCCTCCATTTAAGGGAAGGAAACTAATTCTGAAAGCAGGCCAAGTCAAGCAGCTGTACCGGATATCCTCATTCTGACAACAGCAGCACAGCTGATTTGAGGCTAACAGCATTGGGATGGCATAAGGATAGAAAAATGTTAAAATATAAAATTAATTATTTATTCCAGCTAGGGAGGTTATTCAAACATGAATGGTATTAACAGATAAAATTCCTAGAGTTTAGGAAGGCATGCTGTCACTTTGATAGACAAATGCCACACCTAAGAAATGCAATAAAAAGATGAACATATATTTTTCCAGCACAGCGTAGTCGTCAAACATGCATACGTAAAACATGTTTTTTATAAAAGAATCTTTAAAACATGTTTCTAAATTTAGTTATAAGCCCAGAATATAATTATACCAAGGCACATATACTAAACTGGAATTCTCCATAGTTACAAGGGTACTAGCATTTAAACAGATGCTTCTTTTTTGTGGGAAACTGAGTTACTTAGTGATTGCTGTGAACTGGGAAATTTGCAGTAGCTGTATTATGTAAAGCATCGACGCTGGCAGAGAATGTGTACTGTTACTGCTCAAAAGGTTTAATCAGTACAGTTCCCATTCTGGAGGGGAGGTAGCTTACAATTAAGGTGATGGGTGTGAGGCACAGGTTTATGAGCTCTCCTATATGAAGATGCTATCTTGAACATGACAGCAGTTGAAAGCTATTTTTAAGCCCAAGGTTTTGAAGGAAAGCGGTCTTTTCTGAAATCTTCCAGGTGGGCTTGTTCGTGAGTGTTTTAACTAAGCCTTGAATAGTGTATGCAGTAAGTAAAAAAACCCCAAACTCTGTTAAAATCATATTTTCATAAGATAGGAAAGAGACCAGGTTGCAAATCTGAACTCTGACATTGCTTGACTTCTGTGAAATTAACATTTGCAAAACACATGTATGTAACTTTATGAATACTGTCAATCCTTTTCTTTGACCCACATGTCTGATCGTTAGTTCAAGCTGTGTGGGTTGTTTCCACTAAAATAAGAAACTAATGAAAAGTATTGTAATACAATATGGTATGTTTGCAAAAAATAAAGTAATGATGGCACAAAAAACCCCTAATGAGGGTCAAACTTTTTTTTTATTATTTTATGCAGGTATTACCACCTCAAATTTTGGGTAGTATTACCATGGATATGGAGGAAAAGAGGAGGCCTAGCTCTAAGCAAGGATAGCTGAATACTGAATAGCTACCTCATTTACAAAATTGTCCATCCTAAAAAGTAGTGTAACATGGTGGACCACATCCCCGTCATTATAAGCAGTAATGTAAACTATGTAACCTAGGGACTGAGCTACGCTTGACAACCTCAACACTGATATTTACATTTTTTTTAATGCTTCCCTTTTAATGTACTGTTTTCTGTGGACATAAGCAAGCATGTAAACATACAGATGTATAAGAGTGTGGCATTTCAGAATGAATATATGCACTATCCAGGCTCTTGTTACCTGCTGGAAGAAACTCTGTCCTAAAACATAGGTAAAACTTAATTCAATATAGTCCTTAAACAAGCTTCTTCATAAAAAGAGAAATGTAATAGCTTATTAACAACTGATTTGACAAAGGCAGTATTTTTGTAGCTAATTGTATAACAATATACTGTTCTAGGAAATGAAATCACACAGATCCAGGATATATTCGTGCCTGTATTTTAAAAGGATGGGCAAGTGTATTTGTCAGATAATGAAATACACAATGCTTCTAAACGAGCAATACATTTTACACCTTCTCATCAAACTAGTGACCAAATAAGAGCTCAGTACCTTTAAGCTTAGCTTTTTATAGCCTGCCTCTGTATCCCATATAGCTGTAGTTTTGTCATATCCGCCAGACACAACAAGTGATGCTGAAATATAAAATCAGAATACTATATTTTATCTTTGCTTAGTCATACAGACTAATAAAAGAGGCTTCTTCTAACAGTGAGTCAGACTTTATAAATAAAAATTTAAATAATGAGCTAGTAGTCATGCCTTAACAAGACAGCAGAAGTTCCTTTTGGGTACTTGTTGTTAATGTTCTTAATTTTGTAAATATTAATACATAAATACAGCAAACACAAAACCGAGTGGAAAAAAACATACATAAAAATTTTGTTGACTTAGAAAATTAAGGAGATACCTTGTTTAAAAAACAAAATATAGAGAATACTTTCAGAATTGTTAGGTCAACAGTGAATAAAAACAAACCAGTAGAGTTTAGTGTGGAAAGCATGCTTTCAGATTCCAATGTTCATACGCTTATCTGCATTTGCATGTCTTCAAGCCACAGGTACATTTTTCCCCACAGAGTTGCTCTTTATTTATTTGAGTCGGCTAACTCAGAAGGCACTGTATGAGTATGGCTGCAGATCAGCCCACTGTCAGCAGTTCAGGAGTCATCTTTATTGCAGCATTCAGATGTGAAGTTGCAAAAGAAAACACCCAATTAGATTACAATGTACAAAAATTCGTATTAGTGCATCCCAGTGAAGAGAAGAGAAGCTGTTTGAGCGCAGCAGCAGTTTGCAGTAAGACTGATTTCTTCCTGTGGAGGGACTAGGAGTTGTTTATGATCTAGTGAAAGTAATGGAACTAGGGAAGTAAGAAATATCTCCCCACTACCTCCACTCAGATAGAGGTAAACTGGGAAGTCTGTTTCTTCCTCCTGTTCTCCTCCTATTCATCCAAGCATCAAGGAGACATCAAGTTCCAGGTGGCAAATGGTCTTGCTATAACTCACAAATATCATCTACTTTGAACGTGGTAGTTAGTTTATGTGCTCCATCAGTGTAGCTGAGAACATTCGTGAAGGTTTTCAGAAGTAAATTACTAGCATATGCTGTTTGGGCTGTGAAGTAACATTACTTTTGGGAGTACTAACAAAGACATTATTACAGATCACTACAGTATTTACTGAACATGTTTTTTCAACTAACTAACTAATGTTAGGAGAATATCCACAAGTGCTAAGTTAATCTTCTATTATAGTATTGTGCTTATACTCCATTATGATCTTTTTATTATACCTCTTGATGGGTGTCTCAATTAAGCAAGTGTTCCAGTTGCCTGGTTAAGACAGAACACAGACCGTCAACTTCAATTTACTTATTTACATGGACATCATTTTCCCATAATTAAACATATTATCTTGGAACTTATTAATTAATTACCTACATGATTGGAGTGGTCACTCATCGTTCATCTGAGGTGTCCTATACCTAGGTATTGAGATACATCATGCACTAGTATTAAGATAACTTACCATCTTGGCTAAAAAGGCAGGAACTAACACAACCTTCATGTCCTTGGTTCAAGGAAACGGGTTCATGACACTGAAATTCTCCTGTCTTTATGTCCCATATTTTTAAGGTTTTGTCCCAGGATGCTGTGCACAAGTAATGACCATCAGAGGTAAAGCAGCAATCTGAGATAGCATTGCTGTGTGCCCTGAAACACAGATGAAAAACAGAGGAAGAGTGAGCTTTTGTAACTATTACAAATACAAAGGGCCTCCTGCAGCACTGAGCACCCTGTCTCCATCCAGTAAAGCACCATAAGCATATTCTGAATTTTAACTGTATGAATAGTGCTGTAAAGTCTCTGGAGCTGCTTACAACCTCACAGCCAGCACGGGCTTAAACCCCTTATTGGATTAGGTCATTTTGCAGGATTGAACCCTAGCTGTTAAGTGACAAGTGGCCAGATTTTTTTTTTCATTGAACGCAGCTTAACAATAAATTGTTTAGCAGCTACAACACAACCGCATTTTACTAAAAGTAAGTTATCAAAAGAAGCCACCCATTTTTCATTAAATAAATAGCATGCATCTATCTCTACACGTAAATTTCAACTGAAACATTCAGAGGAAAAAGACTAAACAATTCTAGATTAAAGTCTAATTTTGGAAGCAGTGATAGCCATCAGAAAAGAAATCTAGACGTTCCAGAACTGGGTGAGGACTCTAGTGCTTCCTGAAATCTACAGTGGGGAAAGGATTATGAGCATCTCTTACAGGAAACAATGCCATAGTCACTGCAATTTAAAAGAAACATTACAATGTTGCAGATTGAATTTCCCATCCAAAGTAATTCCTAATCCCTCAAAGACAATTTTATTACAGTGTTTAAAGGCAGACTCTCTCTCTGATTATTGTTTTAAGAATTCAAAGCTACATTGGTTGAGTTTACTTAAAGCCATTGATATTTTTAACCGTTGTTTTGACATCTCTATTGTTGCGCATACTTCCTTCTTAAAACGGTAACAATATCCTAAATTGACATAATGTTTTTACTGTATTACTGACTTCAGCGAGAGAGAGAGGAGTTTAGCATGTGAAGGCTCAGGAGATCACACTGAGCAAGGCTTCTGGCACTGGGCATGACCTTCTCCAAAAGCGCACAAGGAAAAATGATCTGGGAAACCGATCTCTCTACTCAGAGAGTGGCCATAATACGTTCACTGTCAAAATGAAAGTACATTTTGAGCTGGGGCCCACAGCATCTGTCCTGAACCCAATCCTATTTCATACTTAGGTTAACAATGTAGATAATGAGATAAAGAGTACAGATATGCAATTAAGCCAAAGGGGGTCTGCAGTTATACAAGGGAGGAGATTAAAATTCAAAATTATCTTCACAAATTGAACAAATCATCAAGAAAATAACAGGGTTATAACAGTGTCTGTAGGAAACAATGCTGTCATCACTGCAGTTTGTAGGAGTGTTACTGTCTTTAATCAATTACCTAATACGTATGCTGCCTGATCAGGTCAATTTTGTCAAGTCTGACATTCTGTAGTAACATACAAATAATCAACTGCACAGATAAGGGGTGGGAACAGTGGACTACATCACAGGTCTGCAAAAAAAGAATGCAACAAATATTGACTCCTCTTCACTATCATGCTGTCAAAAAGAGTAAATCTCATCCCAGGATGTATGAACAGAGGCACATCCACAGAGAAGCATGTAACAATAATTAATTTTTTTTTTTTTTCCAGTTAGAGGGTATACTGTTTACAGTATGGAGCCATATAATTAAAAAAAAATGTGGGCCAATTGGAAAGATCTCAGAGATCAACAACAAGAATGATCAGTAAAATAGGAAATAATAATGAAATATTAAATGAATAAGTATGGTTTAATCTACTGAAAAGATGACTTGGCAGATATAATAGAAGTTCTTGGATATATATAAAAATGCAGAAGAAAACAAGGGAATAATCTGATCTCCATGTCTGAAGTAGATCTAAACAGAAACATGTGAGCTTAAGCTGCAACCAAAATAGTCCACCTTAGGAAAATCTTTCTAATGATTAACACAGTGAGGCAACGGAACAGATTGTTTAGAAGTCTGTGAGGCCTTCACTGGAGCTCATTAGGAGCAAAGTAGATCATCCTGTGGTTGCTCTGAGGCCCATGAGTTTTACAAAGAGCTAAGGTGATCTGGTTGCAGTGCAAAACCTAATTATCACAAAATATTCTGTAACAACTCAGATTAATTATCAATTCCCAACATCTAGGTATATTTTCTCCTTCTCCTCTGTATTATTTTTGCTTCACTCCATAATGTTTTTAAAGACTTCACTATTCTAAGTAATATTTTATCTCCTCATTCATCAATGATTATATATTTTCCCTAATTAGTAGAAATTAGAACAAGAAACTTATGCTGCAGTACCATATTGCATGTGCTATCTTCTGCTTCTCTATATACCCAAGAACCTAGAAGCTCTAAAAAAATAGCAGTAGAAATGCTTACAGTCGTCAAAATACAATTTTTCAATTATTTACAGTAGGAAGCTTGAGTGGACCATTTTATTCATGTTTTCTATATATGTCATTTGCTTGTGTATTACTTTATTTAGTTCAACAATTATTGTTTTCTCTAGTACAAATCTTAGCATAAATCTCTCTGGTAATTGTGAAAGATGCAAGTAATGCCATGCATAATTAAATATAGTATTGTTTCTTACTCATTAATCGTAATTGAGGTGGATCGTTTTATCATATCCCATAGCTTTATGGTCTTATCGTATGATACTGAAGTCACTCTTTGGTTATCAGGGTCAAAACAACATCTTGTGATTGTACTTTTGTGATGGCCTATGCAAAAAAACATCAAGTGAGACTATTAGTTATCTTGAATAATTACATCTGGATCTCAGAACACAGGTCTGAAAGGCAGAATTACCCATAGCATCGACACGTCAGTCTATTTCCAAAACACTGTAATTTCAAAATTGCTATTTCACTGGCTAGGACACCTCCTCACCTACCTCTCAATGAAAGAGAGGCCTCATAGTTACTGCAGATAGCATGAATGTGAACCTGTACCCAGGCACTCAACGTACACAGTTTATGTAAATTCACATGCTGCCCTGTAGTAATTTATTTCTCTGCTGCATTCCTGAAAATAAGTCTGGAATTGTGGCCCTGTAATGCCAATGACAGTTAATTACTCAGACTCTTAGGGAGCACTTAAGCAGGTAATTATACTTTAAAAATGCAAATAGCGCCATTAAAATAATGTAAACAAAGTAAGTCCTGATAGTGTCACCTAACAGAGACAGTTCTAATGAAACTATTATGATCCATTGTTGCACTTCTTATTTTTAAACCCAAATTATTTTACCATCAGGCTCTCATTCATAGCAGCACGTTAACCATAGGCTAATTTAACATTTGTAAGACTGCTCATCTATTTAGAAGCTCATTCTGCAGCAATGGCAAACTCCCTGACCTGCAGTTCTGAGTGGAAGCCTCATGGGACTGAGGTCTCACTAGTGAAATTACCTTCAAAGGGAAATTATGCTTCAAAAAGGAATCACTGTTGGTCTAATTTTGGACCATTATCTGCTTTTCATAAGCCTATTCTGAAAAATACTGGGTTTCATGTCTTACAGATAAGTTTATTTTAGCATTCTCAAGTAAGGATATTTGAACTGAATGGAATGAATGAATTTTCTCAATTCTTTGCAAGAAATAAAAAAAATGCAAAACTTGCATAAACAAGATGTAAAAGTCATCTTACCTTGGATATGTGCCACTACTGTTGCACTTTTTGCATCAAAAACATATATAGCATTTTCTCTGTCTGAACCAGATACCACATATCTACCATCACAAGAAATATTACATGAAGTTACAATGCCTTCATGTTCTACTGTCCACTAAAGAGAAAATAAAAGGTTTTAGAAAAATGCTTGAGGGTTAGAGACAGTCTTACAGCAGACTTTCTATGATCTGTAAGGAGGTTCAGAAAGAAGGCTTTTGATATTACTTTGTTTTGGTGAAAGCTGATAGATGTCTTTATATGGGTTAGCTCAGTTGGTTAGAACATGGTGCTAATAATGCCAAGTTCACAGGTTCAATCCCTGCTCACTGCAGGGGGGGTTGGGCTCGATGATCTCTCAAGGTCCCTTCCAACCCAAAGCATTCTATGATTCTATGATCCAATTTTTCTATTTTTGCGTTAGCAATACACTTAAAATTAGACAAGGCCACCCTGTTCAAATCCTAAAATGTTAATTTAATCAATCTTAAATGTATGTTCTGAGGCAGGTTATTATTATCATACCCATTTGTATCTGAAATAACTGAGATGTTAATCAAGAGACTCACCCAAGATCAAGCAATTATCAGTAATTATCTAACAAAGAATGTTTTGTTTTCTTATTTATCAATAACAAAGCAATAAATCTTAATTTTACAGTTGTACCTTCTGCAAGATGCATTCAAAAGGATACATACAAGCATTTTTCCTGTTTCCATATCCCAAGCCTTGACAGTGTTATCATATGATGATGTTACCACTCTAAAAACAATGTTAGTGAAAACAGCAATCAATGTTTTCACTTAAAAGAAGGTATTTAAAAAAATGACTACATTTAATTTTGACAATGATTTGACATCCTCACACCCACTAATTTAAAACAGATTTTTAAAGCCTACAACAAAAATTATTGCATAGCTTAGTTGAAAAAAGGATTATTTATATTTCAGATAGAAACTAATAATACAAATGCCATGTATGTAATTTTCAGCACAAGCAGTCAACTCAATTTCATTTCATCCATCACAAGATACTTAATTACTTCTAATGTTAGAATAATTTTAAAGCCATTATGATGTCTTTTCTTTAATGAATGTGAACTGTTCTTGTCAGTAGAGTTTTTTGGATTTTCAGTGGTTATGTTGCTGGGTAACCCTCTACCACAGACGCTGCTCTGCACAAACACAAAGCCACATTAGACAACAAAGCTATTCAATAAAGTTTACTAAAACTGGTAGGTTTCCATTAAATGCAATGTCAACGTTTTTTTTCCCTCACACAGTTTTATTAAGATATTCCCAAATATCTGAAGTAATATTTATATTGAATGTCACTGGATGTGACAAATGGTTTTAGTACAATTGTGGCTTTTTATTTTGATAAGTCTCATAAACTGTCACTTTTACAAATTTTGCCCAAGAAACTCGATGCCTTAAGATTCTAACAGCTAAAGATATAATCAGATTATTAAAATCTTTTTATTTTCTCTACATGTGTATACTTCCCACAACCAACACAATCTCTGCTCCTAAATGGAAAAATGTAATGGAAAAGACCACAGGAAGTTTATGAACTGGTAGCATTTTTGATTGGAAAGTGGTTTCCAGGGCCTATACAATGGTATTTTACTTGCTGTTTAGCAGTTTTCAAAAACATACACAATTGCAGTAGGCAGCATAGCATGTGTACTATTCAGTGACCAAAAACCAAATGAGTCAACTCTACAATCTGATAAAAATTGATTTAAACTATGACTTAATGATAAAATATGCCAGAAATAGTACCCCTGGAGGCACTGCATGACCTACTTAACTGAATGTTAATATATGCTGCAGTCATTTTATTATGTCCACAGATTGACACTGGATTAAGATGCATTTCTTCTTTAATTGACAAGACAGGCTTAATGGAAAGGCTATAGAATATTAATAAACAATAGAGACAGAAGAGAACTTTTATGAAGGTATAAATCTCACTGACAGATGAACCGCTGAACCTTGGCTAATTCAAAGTTGTTCTTTTATACAAGCAATACGTATTTATATACCCCTTTCAGAACATGTGGCAAAGATAAGACTTCCAGCCCTGTACAACTCAAAACGAGTATTAGACAAGTCTTTTGCCCTAAAAGATTCCAGTTTAATTCAGCAGACATCATATGCAAAACAGAAAAGGTTTAAGAGTTCCTGTATAATGGCAGGTGAAAACAAGGTGAGATTTATGGTAGTTTATGTGGATGAAGGAGTCTGGCAGTAAACAGTGTGCTAGCAGAGTATGGACAGCATAAATGAAAGTGCAAGGATGGAGAGAAGTAGGAAAAGTGTATGGAGGAAGGGAGATGTAAGACAAAATTGTGACAGAATCATGGAGCACAAAAATAAGCAAACAAAGTTTTTGACGTAGTACAAGTTAGAAAACCATAGGAAGGACTGAAAAAGTAACTTATCTGTTCTAAATTTTGTACTAAGTGTTTCTACATGCACTGAAATTGAACCTTGAAATCTCAAAAAACATCACTTTTTTTTAAAAATAAATTCAGATAGAAAATGGTCACCTTCTGTCATCAGCAGTCAAGTTGCACTCAGAAATCGGGGCAGTGTGTTCTTCAAAAACTTGAATAGGAAAACCTTTCTCAACATCCTTGAATAAATCCAAATTAGTTTGATTAGGAAGTGCTTTGCTAAATTGTAAAAAAAATACAAAGCATTGCAAAGTAAGGGAAAACAAAACTTGGAAATCAGTAAGGTTAGTCTTACTTTAGTTACTCGTGCAATCTCAGACTCCCTATTCTCAAGACTGACTGAAACAGGGTTCTTCATGTATCGCACCCAGACTTCTATTTATCTCCTTCCCATCACAGTAGTTTTCACCAGAAATTTCTTGAAAAGAGTTCTCCTTAGACTCTCACACCCATGTCCATGCCTAAATCCTGGCAAGACTTTCTTCATAAACTAATACGTAGCTTTCCATTTTCATCCACATAGTTAAAACTCAGACTCTCAAGGCCTGCCATCCCTGTATCAATTATTGCAACATCATTTTCTTCACAAATGCAGTCCCCCCTGCTTGTATCCATGTACAATGCTCTTCCACATATTTCCCTTTACTGTCTGCATTATGTCATTCCCTCTGTTTGTGTTCCCTGATTCCTCGTTCTCAGTCACAAACACAAGCCTCTTGTCTTCAAATACAAAGCTCTTTGTGATTTATCCCCAGACATCATCTCCCTTCTCCCCTACCTTTGATGCCAGCCTTTCATCACTCAGTTGTTAGATTTTAAAATTTATGTGTTCCCCTTTGCTGTCCTTCATGTTTTGAAGAAGTCACCTATAACTAACTGGAAATCTCTCTCATAATACAAAATCCCTCTTAAATTTCTGTTTTGTGATTCCTACAACAGCAATCAACAGATTGCTTAAGTGCTGAGATGAGGACCCACACCGCAGTACTGGTTCATTTATATTACTCCATCATCTTCTATCTTAGTCTGTTACACAGAGAGTTTTAAGTGATTTTAGGAAGGGACTCTCTTTTTGTCATATGTGTAAAATGTTCAAAGCACAGTGCAGTCCTAACCCATGATTAAAGCCTTGAGGTTCTTTAGTAATACACATAAAAATATGAATCAAGTTTTACAAATGGATCATGGTGCCCGACTGTAAACATCAAAACCAAAAAAACCAGGAGGACTGCTGACATGCAGAGTAACTCATAGACCAAAGTATCACAGGATCAGTCATCATACCTTCACCTAAGTAAATAATTTCCATGATCAACCCAATTATTTCCAGAAGATTTTTGGTTGTACAAGTACCAAGAGGTTTCAGAATCAGTCTGGAAGCAGGCAACAAACTCCCTTCATTGTTTATGTGTTCTTTCATTTGTCTTCAATATGAGAATAAAATCTTGTACCCCTGACTACTCCTCCTCTTTTTAACATCAACTGTTGAGTCTCAGATCCAGAGCTGCTTCCTGACAAGGCCTTTCCCTTGAAGGAGCTATCCTGCTAATCTGGCAGCTCTCGATAACAGACAAAACTGGAGTGAAAGTAAATTTATTTTTCACTTTTTCACTTATTTCCTGAATGTGTGTCAATGCACTACAGGCCTAACAACCGACACTAGAATCACTAGGAACATCTCTAAGACTGAAGAAAAAAAAAAAAAAAAGATCAAAGTTACCATATGTTCTTGTTCTATTTTTCTGAGGCAAAAAAGCCTTGCAGTCACAACTGCCCTTCTAGACTTACCTAGTCTTTGTCTGCTGTGCACACTATTAATCTTTGTTTTCCAAAAGATGTGTGGGCTGTCAGTGAGATACTGTCTGTTCTCAAGAGGAACTTCAAATGCTTTCTCAGTACACTGAGTCATTTGATATCTACTCTTTCAAAAGGAAAAAAAGAGAACTCCAAAGTGAAATTGTCAGGGCTGGCCTAGCCCCCCGTGACCAAGTCTTCCATACTCTCCTGAATTCTAATTGCTTCAGCTGTTCCTGCAGAGGAGGAAGTTAGGCTTGTCCAGAAAAAATGAAGCTTATCAAAATCAACTAACATATTCTTCCCTATACATTGCTATCAGAAAGTTCCCAATACTCAGGCAAATACTTTGAGACAGATTCTGAAAAATAAGTATTGCTCAACAATCATTGAAAAATCTTTCTTAGATAAAAATTATAAAGATAAAATTTCTTAGATTAATCTTTCCACACTACAGGCAAGTGGCACATTGTAGCCTTTCCACCAAAAAAAAAACATTCATGATCCACTGTGCTGAAAAAAATTAATGTATTATTTTCTTATTTTGGGGTCTTGATTTCAGTTTACTTACACGTAAGACAGCTGAATAACATTTCGCTAAAGATAGAAAAATACAAGCTCCAGTTCTGAGTTCAGACAAAGCAGAAAAGTTTGGAACTGTCAATCTGACAGTTATTAAACTGTAAATGTCATGACTAACACGCTGAAATACACTTATTCTTATTTCTCCTAACTACGATATTTGCTGAAGATCTCCACATGTTTATTACTTTGGAACTGATCATTAGAAGACAGGGCTTTTTTTCACTCTAGACTTCCTGATTTCTTGGATCTAGCTATCCATAGCTCTTGGATAACATAATGGTGCTAACCTGAAAATTGCCTGGACTTTTTACACTTTTGGGGTTCTTGGGTTTTTTGAGTACATTTGAAAAAAGGTTTGGATTATGGTAGAAACCGCATTGGTAAGAAGTCAACACTTTAGATCCTTTATAAAATTACTTCATCTGTATTTGTATCATATTAAGGCATTACTATAACTCATTACCACTTCTTGAATCAAGTCATGACTGTTTAATACATGCCAGATCTCAATGCCTGCAATCTCTTTAACACAGCTTCATTATCACTTGCTTGCATAAAATTCAAGGGCTCACATAACTATATGTCTCCAAGCTATCTTTTAGACTAAATTTAGATTTGATCACCCAGCATGGGTACACTTCCCCAGTTCAGATCTCACCGTTGCCCCACCTGGCGAGGCTGGAATTTTAGGGAAACCCCAGCTAACTACACGGAACTTGGAGGAGTAAAAAAATAAAGGGTGCAAATCAAGATTTAAATAAAAGGAAAAAGCAAGCAACAAGGATGAAAACACCATGGCCATGCCGGTTAACAACTGTGTGATCCCTAAGTTTTACATCTCGTCTGCAAACAGCCATACACATAAACAAGTCAGAAAAAGTAACTTTCAGGAAAAAAAAGAGTAAGCTTTGTGTATCAACTTACAGTTTTAAAATGTTAATAAACTAGTGCTCTGATTCAGTTTATGCTACATATGCTTACAAGGGTCACCCTTTAATGTCAAAGAATATGTGCGGAGCATGAAATAGGAGTTTTACTATTTATCTGTGACTGCGAAGACATTTACAGTTGCTATTTTTAAATGTCGCTAAAATATCTTCAGAAGGCTCCTTGATGATTCAGTCAATCTTCATGCCTGTATAACATTCCTTGTTTGATTTCAGCTTTAAGATTTTTTTTTTTTAGTTTGTTGTTGCATTCATAACATACCCAGAGCTTCACTGTTCTATCATAAGAGCATGAAAGTATTTTTGTGTCTTCAAAGCAAAAATGGCAGGAGCTCACAGTATCACTGTGTCCTCTCAGAATTTTAAATTGGATCTGTAAAGGAACAGAGCAAAGTTTAGGAATATTTTTCCTTGAAATTATTTTTGACAGCTTAGTCCACGAGGGGGAGTACAAAAGCAAGAACCAAAGGAGAATAAAAATTTTAAGTTCCACTCGTGTAGGAAGGGTTCACATCCTCTCCTTGGTACTAGCTTGAAGTGCATTTACCAAATCTGCTTGAGAAAGAAAGGTTAACAGATGTGGATTTGGTTTGTTTTGGTTTCCCAACTCTTATTCCTCTCATGAAAAGTAGTATTTATCTTTAAATCTCATGAAGTCTCTCTCAAGTCTTTCAAACGCTTGTTTCCTTGATTCTGGCCCATCACAGGGCAGCACATCAAGCTCCCAGGCCACACGTTTTAGCCAAGACCATTACAAATTTTGTCAAAGATATTTTGAAAAGGCATTTCTTCAGTCATTTAGGAGTTTGCTCATGACTGTCCAGCATGTGTTTTGTGTGCACAGAGCTAACAAACAACCAGCTCCTGTGAGCATTAAGCACAGGTAAAGTGACAGAGAGCTTTTCAACCCTCAGCTTCCAGCAGCCCCGGCCTGCCCCGG